AGACAATGGTAACAAACAGAACATTATTGTTGCTACAAAACCTTATTTTCTTGTAGACAATCGTAACAAACAGAACATTATTGTTGCTACAAAAGCTTAATTTCTTGCAGACAGTTGTAACAAACAGAACATTATTGTTGCTACAAAACCTTATTTTCTTGTAGACAATCGTAACAAACAGAACATTATTGTTGCTACAAAAGCTTAATTTCTTGCAGACAGTTGTAACAAACAGAACATTATTGTTGCTACAAAACCTTATTTTCTTGTAGACAATCGTAACAAACAGAACATTATTGTTGCTACAAAAGCTTAATTTCTTGCAGACAGTTGTAACAAACAGAACATTATTGTTGCTACAAAACCTTATTTTCTTGTAGACAATCGTAACAAACAGAACATTATTGTTGTAACAAAACAAAACCTCAATTTCTTATAAACATTTGCAATTTATAGAATATTAGCCATCTCTCCTATTCGTCTAAGCTGTTGAAATTTTTCATTTGTCTAGATTCTACTACTATGGTTTTCTACAGTATCTGATGTGTTGTGCTGAGCCTATTCTCTACTAAGTCTAGCTTAAACTACTCTGGTTTTATACAGTATCTAATGTGTTCTACATTACCCCTTCTCTAGTTATTTGGCTCGTAAGTAGTTAAAAACACAATTAAGTTGGACAGTGTCACCATCGCCAATGACACTGTCCAATGTCAGGGTTAAACCCGTAGAATAGATATGTCTAAAATGGTGCCACTGCTCACGGGCTTAAGGACGGCATGACAGTAAAATGTGGGCTATTGTGATATGAGTGTCACAAAGGCCACACATTGGTGGATCAGGCCCAGATAACAGAAAACGATGAGTAAAAACTGTGACCAATGTATAGGTTAGCCAGGACAACTTCCTCCTTCCAGTCCTTACAGAAACAAGACTGCCAGAGAGCAACAGAAGGTTTAATCTGGAAAAGCTTGCTATCACATTGCTCACACCAAGTCGACTGCCAACTGTTGCGAAGCTGAGCCTTGAATACAAGACCGAAGTCCATACGTGGGACAGGCACGGCTGTGACAGCACCAGAGAAGATGGACTTAGCTGCAGTGTCAGCAAGCTTGTTCCCGCAAGTACCAATGTGGCCAGGTATCCATAAAAATAAGAGAGAAACAGAAGATAGAAAAAAATGGGCCAGTCCATGAGAGTCCATGCAAATAGTACAATCTGTGTACTGCATAGCTTCTACGTGATCCAGAGCATACAACTCAGCAGTGAAGACAGGAACTGTAGAGGAGATCCTGTGAGCAACCACAGAGCCACAACAAACCATGGCAGGGCCCACAGAGTCACCTAATTTCGAACCATCCATATAAACGAGAATAGAAGAATGGTTCGAAAGATGTTCAGCAAAGAGAAGACAGTACTTCCAATTGGAAATATCTGCTTTCCTCAGAAGACTCAAAGAAAGGTCACACATGGAGATTGTATTAAGCCATGGCAAGATGGGCTGATCAGTGGAGACAGCAACGTCATTCAATGCCAGACCCAATTTAGTGAGTTGTGCCTGGATACAAAGGCCAAAGGTAGGAATGGCAGACCATCTATTCTGATGGAGCACAGCCCACTGAGGAAGAAAGACACAACCCCAAGTGGGATGTTGTGGTATGGACTGAAGTTTAGTAGCATACTGCAGAGAAAGTTGCAAATGGCGGAGGTTAAGAGGAGGTTTGTGGGACTCAGTGTACAAACTCTGGACTGGAGAAGAGCAGAGGCCCCAGATGGTGAATGAGTTTCAGCATATTCAAAGCCGAGGTCCTGGCAGAACCATAGACTAAAGACCAATAGTCCAGTTTGAATCAAATGAGTGCACGATAGATCTTTTAGCATAGAACATCGATCCGCTCCCCAAGAGGTGGAAGAAAGGACACAGAGTATGTTCAGTGCCCTCATACACTTGACACGTAGCTGCTTGATGTGTGGAATGAAAGTACGCTTACGGTCAAAGATAAGCTCCAAGAACTTTGGCTCAGGGACCACGGGAAGAATAACATCACTGAGACAGAGCTTGGGATCAGGGTGTAGACCCCACTGGTGGCAAAAATGCATACGAACGGTTTTGGAAAAAGAAAAGGTAAAACTGTTTGCTGTAGTCCACTTCAACAAGAGATTGAAGGTAGTCTTAAGCTGTCTCTCAACAAACCTCATATTCAACGACCGACATGAGATGTGGAAGTCATCCACATAGAGCTCTTTTGTAATAGTAGGAGGAAGCTGGCGAGTAATAGCATTGATCTTGAGACTAAGAAGTGTGACACTCTAAACAGCCCTGAGGGACTCCAAGTTCCTGTGTGAAATAATAGGAAAGAGTCAAACCTACATGGACTTGGAATCGCCTGTTCAGTAAAAAATTACGAATAAAAATGGGCAAATGACCACTTAACCCATATGAATTGAGGTCTGGCAAAATGTCATTTCTCCATGTAGTGTTATAATCCTTCTCAAGATCAAAGAAGACAGAAAATGATGTTCTCTCTTGAGGAAGCCTTCCCTGATCGACGTTTCAAGTTGAATCAGGTGGTTCACGGTGGAGGACTATTGACAGAACTCACACAAAATAAATGTAAATAATTTGTCTTGTCAAAGGGTGTTCTAAAGTAACTGAACCTGCCTGTGCGGACTCTGATGAATTTTTGCACATATGTTTGACTTGTTTTGATTATATCATTTTAAAACAAGTGGATTGTGTGCTGTCAGTTTATTGTTGAAATTCATCGCCAACAAGTCAAAGACACCTACTTTAAAGAAAACTTGACACACATTTACTGGTTTTCTACAGTATCTTATGTATTCTACATTACCCCTTCTCTAGTAAGTCTACCTTCTACTTATACTAATGTGTTCTATTTATTCCCTTCTCTGAACTAGTCTACCTTCTACTTATGCTGGCTTCCTACTATATCTAATATGTTATGTCTAACACCTTTTTTAGTTAGTCTAACTTCTGCTTCTACAGGTTTTCTACAGAATATAATGTGTTCTACATTACCCCTTCTATATTTAGTGTAGCTTCTACTACACTGGCTTCCTATAATATCTAATATGTTCTATCTAATTTCTATTTACGTTTTACAACAGTATCTTTAAATCAAAACTTCTAGATTAGATTGTACAGTCATCTTCATAATTATTCTCTGCATGCTTATCAGTTCTATTTCAACGTTCCAGATTAATAGTAATGCATCAAATACATGTTTGAATGAAAAAAATTATTGTCTGGTCTCCAATGGATTACAAACACAAATGTAAGATCTTTAGAGTTTAACTTTATATTCTGTTGTGATCTTGTAAAGATTACTACTATATAAATGGAGGATAGTCTCCTAGTTTGTCAGAAAACATTCTGGAAGTTGAATCTGAATATCACATTCTCATCTGCATTATATTGTGTAGCCTATTCTTGTGATGATATTAAAGAATATGACTGTAATGCTGATTATACACTACACTAAATATCTAATCTTTGCAGCAAATTTGATTATGTGTTGTTACTAGAACTGATTATATTATTATTATTATTATTACAGAGACAGCATCTTCAGATAAGTAAGGCTTATTTCCAACCTGATTACAGTTGATTCAAACACATATAACAAATAATGTAAACACATATTTAACTTCCCTTTTTTGTAAGCCATTTCACTAGACTATATCCAGTAACAAATGTCAATATATATATTTATCTGTTTTCATTTACTTTCTATTAATGCTACAAACAAAAGTCCCTACTTATAGCTGACTGAATTACTATATTAATCTTAATAAAACTGGCATCCATAAATTACTACAAATGTTCCAGCACAATCATCAAAACCTGAACACATACATAGTTTAGTAAGGGTAAAAATATAAACACTTTCTCTAAACTATCTTTCTAA